CCTTTAAAAAATTTGCACGTGGAGGATATGAAACAAAATATTTTTTTTAGGTTTTATATATACATTTGATAACTAAAAAATCATAAATAAGTACATCAATACCATAGAATTCCACTATAATTTATCAAGCTTAGTAACTAAGATGTATTTTAGTCTAAAAAAATATGAAAGAGCAAATTCCACTTATCCCCCAGCTCTAATTGGCCAATGAGGCATGTTTTGCTTGCAACAAGGCATAAAATAGCTTGCCTACAGTGGTGCCAGGAATATGCTCAACAGACCAAAGGTGTATGGAGCATTATTCTTTTAATTGCTGAGTCATGATTCACTCTGAATACACTGAAGTACTATTTCATGAAATTATGGCAATAACTTTAGTATCAAACCGTAGATAATTCAAATTTTAGTATTATATATTACTCAATTTCTTAATTTAAAAGCAAATATTAAAAACACAGATAAATATCGATTTTTGTGTTTCATGTGGTATGTTGAATGCAGCACTGGTTCAAATTAGATGCTTGTGAAGTGAAAATACTAGGTATAGTTTTGCAGAAATTAGAAACTCAAATTACCAATATTAACAAGCTAGAATATAAAATAAGACACTTATCTTTTCAATTTGCTGAGATATTGCTCATATACTGAATCAAACACAGTGCCCCCCCCCTCACCTCTTTCCATTTTTGGAAACGCTCTCTTATATACACTTACTTCTGTCTGACATTTGAATAACCAATCAAAAGCTCAGAATATTTCCCTAATGGGTTTCTCAGCCATTTTCAAGTGTTACAACATCATCATGTTCTTTCGATACAAAACTTCAAGCTGGTAAGGAGAGTCTTTAGCCTGTTAGAAATTTCATATTTTTCTAGATCCAAATACAGTTTAATTACTAAGCTTGATAAATTATAGTAGAATTCTATGGTATCAATACAGTAATTTATTATTTTTAGGTATTTCAACTGTATATATAAAGACTTGATATACGAAATTTTATAAGGTTTAGCAACCTACAACAAGTAGCGAATGAGTACAAAGGTTGTAACTAGAAGAGAATTGATTGCTTTACTTTATTTACTGTTCTATGTTTAAAAAAATAGGTTTAAGAATTCATCTGTAAATAGTAATAATGTGTATATATATATATATAATGTATAATAATTGAGATGTGACTATTTTACAAAATACTAGTCCAATCAAAAACCTAGCCAAGACAGGTCACTTTGTAAAGACTAAAGGCAAGTTTTATATTACTGGATATGTTAACAGAGAGCATGTGTGCCACATCACTGTACTTTTTGTAATGTTAGCCAGGCACGGCTGGAAAGTCAATATAATCAAATTAATAAATATATATAAATGTTATGAGATTTAAGTTATTCAGTATAAACATTTGTATTTGTGTTATAATCCGAAGTCATTCTAGAATGAAAAAAAGCATAATTTATATTTATTTCCTAATTTTTTTTTTATGGTGGTTACAAGATTGGTCAAATCAACCAAAACAGTACAGACTCATTAGTGAAAATAACAGATAAAATATAAATTTTTTTCAAGAAATGTTTTATAGCTATCTGGACATCATAAAGATTTTGCATGTGAAATTTGAATATTTTCTGATGCATAAAAGTATTTTTAATCTTAAAATAAAAATTACTTTGCATTTCGGATAGACAATATGCAAAAAGAAAAATGCATAAGAAAAACATTGCTTAACAAACCTTAATACTTAAAAAAAAAAAAAATATTCTGCATATAAAAGTTTTTTAATGTTTACTGATAATCTGCCAAATTTTGTGAACATACACTTACTAATTTAAAAGTTATAGCATGAAAATTATAACAAGTACAAAATGGTTACAAAGTCGATCCCAGGGACCAAGCCCATGCTGAAAGAGTAAAGTTTGAAGTTTTTGATTTTATTGACAAAGTCTAGAGAGTTTTTGAGAGAATGTGGGTTGGTCTCAAGTAGAGGGTTTAATTTTTTGACTGAGCATTTAGCAACAAACTTTGTAATGGTGAGCCTATGCTTGATACTATACATACATACATACACACACACACACACATACACACACACATATATATATATGTTGAAGAAGACAAACCAATGTTCTGTCAAAACATTTAGTATGTTCCACCAAGAATAAAAAATGTTCCTTATGCTTACAAATCATTGTGTGCCCACCTATTGATGTATCAATTTTTCTCCAATTTAAACTTTTCCTTTCTTGTTAAACTTTAAAAATATAACAATATGTACAATATTTAAGGAATAATTTTTATTATCACCATCAACACAATAGCCACTAAAGTATATGAAAATTATAAGTAAAACTCTAAGTAATTTACATTAATTTGGTGAAATCTATTTTCTAAAAGCTTCTGGTTTTAAAGGAAATATCTAAATGGACTTGAACAATTCTCCTTCGAGTTATTACAGTATCCTTAAATGATGCTTTACTTGCCAAGATAACAGGGCCTCAAGTATGAACAAAATAAATTCTTTACTATATATCAGCATCACTAATTGTTCTTACGTTTACATCACAATTACTTCATTTACATACACATTTAACCTCACTGAATGAAACTAATAATTTACCATTACTTAAGTACTGTAACAGAATTGCACAAAAAAGAAAAAAGTTCTCAAATTTTCCTCTTTCTAATATGATAAAATATGTTTTTTAGCATAACCTTTAAAAAGACTCTCCTTATTCTTATCAGATTACACAGAAACTTGCATTAGGAGGTTTGGATCCTACATTATAAAATATCCAAGTACCAAACAAGAACATATAGATGATATATAGTTTTAAACAAACCTTTTTGCAAGCTTTTACAATCTTCTTCTTGTCGTAGTCGTCTGAAATACCCTGAACGGTAGTTAAAGTTTTTCGGCCACTTCGTTGCTGGATTCGGATGTGAATTAATCCGTCCTGAACACCACTCTGCTCATCAGCCCTGATGGCATCGGCAAAGGGGTCTACGGGTTAAAAATAAAAATAAATTAATTAATATACTAAAAAAAAACTTAATAGGAAATATTTATACATATTCAAAAATAATTGAGCATACTGTCTGGTGCATAACTAACAACTAGAAAAATGCTACAATGCTGGACACACTTGTGTAAAATGCACTTATAAAATTGTGACATTCATATTTCATGCATAAAACCAACTAAATTTTGAGGCAACAAAAACCAAAGTTGATTTATATGAATTTCACTGAACTATAAGGATATGCAAAACTGACAACAATAAGCTGTTGTTTTTTTTAAATTATAATAGAAGTATGACTGTAAAATACATTAAAATCTTTGTATATTTAACAAAAACAAGATACAGTTGTGAAAAGTTGGATGATAATTATGTAAAAATCTCTGTACCCAAATGGAATTGACTAAAACAATGTAGTCACTGATCATATAAAACAATTGATGTGGAGAACAACTGTGAAACAGCATGAGATGTTGCAAATAAATTTTTAACAAAGAAAATTTGATTCAGTTTAACTCAAATTAATGAAAAGTATCCAATGATACAATAGAGATAAAAGATGTGAAAGGAGCAGAGATCAGAACTGTCAACAGAACTAAGTGACGCAAAGAAATCTGGGATCTGCAGTGGAAAATTTCAATTAAAATCTGAGAAATTGAAGCTATAAAACCAAGAAATGGTCCTCAAAATAATTATAATTTGGATGCAATTAAAGACCAGCATGGAAAGATGATATACAATGTCCATGCTAAAATGAAAGTCTTATTGTGGAGAATGAGCCTATCACCTGCTGGACAATCCCATTATTACCGCCTCTGAATAAGGAAGATGCATTAAAGAACTAAGTAGAACAATTATGACACTGAGAGAAGAGTGCATAATCAATGTATAACAGTGTAATAAAATTATCAAAATCTGAGGGATAAATTTGTGGATAAAAAAAAATTACCCTCTCAAGCTGTTACCTCTAGGCTAATGGTGGTACCAAATATTTTCAATACTTTAAAATTTTTGTCAGAGAAAAATGAAGCATGAAGCACAGTTATTTTGTTCAACATGCACACAGATACAGTAAGAAAACTGCCAAATTGCTTCAATATCTTCAATCAGAACCATAACTACTTGCTACTGCATGACTATACATGTAATGCTTTACAGTAACACAGACTAACACAGTGATAAACTTTTACAACAGTATTTCAACAGCAAACAATAATGATTAGCTTTGTGCTATACAATTTCAATCAAATTTTCCTTATACCTATGCTTGAAAATGTTATTCATGATATGGTTTCATGACATATATTAGCCATATCAAACTTCCCCTAGCCTGAGTAATCAAGTTGATATATTCAGCCAATATCCAAATGAGGATGCTGAATTATTCAAGTCAATAGTTCTCTTGCTATCAAGCAGTTCCTGATAGCGATTCTGAAACAGCATATGTTTTATATCAAGAAGATTAGTCTGCTGTTGTGATTACAAGTAAAAATAAAGAAGTTATAGGCTTTGTAGACCGTCCAACAATATTTAAATCTTTTGTTTGGAAATATTTTCATTTTCCAAAGTACACCTGATTTTTTCAATGGCAGAAAGTGAAGTGAGAAATTATTCAAGGCAAAAAAATGAAGGTGCTTGAATTAATTTTAAAACTACCCTATGACATACTCAATACCACATCAATTACTACTGTCCAGGTTTCAGTAAAATATTCATAGCTGTTTTTCTGTAACGACTTATAAAACTATAATCAATATTAATAAGACTGGAGATACTGTTATAAATATACACCATGTTTAATTTAATAAAACAGCGTTTCCAACTAATATAATATAAATGGCTTCAAAGAGCTTACGTTGGTAACAAAGAACTTGTAAAGTTTTAGAGGATGGAAATCTCGACTTTCAAGAACTTAAAAATATTCCTACAACCTTTGAAGGAATTTGTTTAGTAGCCATGCATAGATGTTGTCGCAGTATACCTAACCGTTTTTGCTGTATGTTTTGGTTCTTGAATGGTTTCGAAGAGAATCTTGGCTAGAAGCGATGAAAAACTTTCCTCTTTCAAGAATCAATACAAAAATAGTCCTATGACCTATGTAGAAGTTTTTTAATAGATTTGCCCAGGTTTAAATAAAACATTTGTAGTCATTTTTTCTGCAAGTTTGTGAAACAATAATATGAAGAACAAATGGATGAATTTTGAATTTGTCTTACAATCGGAAAATCAACTTTTTTTGCTATTATATTTTATCATTCTACGCCATTGAGATAGAAGGTCTTGAGTGTTATTTCAAGAACAAATCTACTTTTTAAGATGGTTTTTGCCCTGTGAAATTTCTATTATGAACCCCTATTATGGTTCATGATACTAGTAGTGACACATTTTAAAGATTATCAGGTTCCTATACCAATAACATGAGAATTCTGTTTTATGCATGGGTTGTGCAGACTATTTCTTCTGTCAACCAATATCTATTGTGCAAACTGTACTACTATATGTTATATCCAAAATGTATACTTGTAAAGTGGTTTAGAATTGACTTGATTCAGGTGTGTAGCTTGTATTTGTTTTAGATGTGCATCTTAGTATTTCTTGGAATGTTGAATCATTTTTGCAATGGGCTATTACATAAAAATAGATAGGGCATGTGTAGGGCTCATTACCTACCAACCCATCTAGTACTAGTAGCGCTACTATGGGTTCTCCTACTTTTTTAACCTTTGTTTTTGACTAAAAAGCAACAGTTTGTAAATAGATACATTACTGTTAAGACCATTTTATAATATATATAGTAGGTAAATTTTGTGATATACTTATTCCTAATACTGAGTACAAGTACCTGAATGCAGTACTGTTAGAACTGGACATGTGGTAATGATGATGTGTAGGACATATTTAAAATTTAACTTCAAAATAAAATGAACATTTTCCAGTGTAAAGCCCTGCAATCCTTTCACACAAGTATAAAGAATTAACAAAGACTATCTTACTGAAAAAGCTTGGGAATTTTTCTAATTATGGAGGGGGTAGGTCAGTGGTAAAGGATATTCACAGATAACCACTTAGCCAGCAAAGTGTCATTAAATGTGGCAGTATGTCACATGTTAATTAAACACCTATAGTATTTCAGGTTATTAGTAAAGGACAATTAATCAAAACCAAACAAACTGCTTATGTTCCATGACTATAAGGCCTACTTTAGTTACTTGCTTCCCTCTTCCAAGCAATATCAATGAGCTGTAAGTGTAAATCCAAGAATACATTGTCTCCATATCATCTCTTTTTCCCTGAAATTCACACTTTGGTGAGGAAAGGAAATTCACAAATAACAAGTTAGTCCACTGAAAAATAAGGGATAATGAACCGTGAAAGTGTGTCAAGTTACCCAAAATATTTTATGTTACTGGTGTTGAGTAAAGAACTGTACATCAAACCTTTCGAAATGAGTCACAACTGAAAGGCCATGTCATCTCGTTTGTTGATTTGCATTCAAAATGTTATTGAACTACCATTTCAAGAATTTATGACAATAACTTTGGTATCACACTGTAGATTATAATTCAAATTTTGGTACTATACATTACTCAATTTCTTAATTTAAAAGCAAATATTAAAAAAATAGATAAACATTGATTTTTGTGTGTCACATGGTATGTTGAATGCAGCACTGGTTCAAATTACATGTTTGTGAAGTCAAAATACTAAGTCTATAGTTTCGTACAAATTAGAAACTCAAATTACCAATACTGACAAGCTAGAATATAAAATAACAGCCTCTTATCTTTTCAGTTAGCTAAGATATTGCTCATGTAATAAATCAGTGGTACCCTGCCCGACTCTTTCCATTTTGGAAATGCTCCCTTATATACACTTACTTCTATATATGACATGAATAACCAATCAGAAGCTCAGAATGTCCCCCTAATGGCTTTCTCGGCCATTTTAACAGACTTGGTGCCATTTATTTCTTTTGAACCAATATTTCAACGAGGTAGGGTGTGTCTTTAGTCTGCTCAAATCTTCATATTTGTTTTAGACTAAAATACATATTAATTACTAAGCTTGATAAATTATATTGGAATTCTATGGTATTAATGAAGTAATTTATGATTTTTGGTATATATAAAATGTATATATAGAACCTAAAAAAAATATTTTGTTTCATATCCTCCAAATGCAATTTTGTTAAAGGCTCAGCAACCTATGTCAAGCAGCAACAGAGTACAAAGGTCGTAACTAGAAGATATAATTGTTTGCTTTACTTCTTTAGTCACTGTTCTATGTTTTAAAAAAATATGCTTAAGAACTTATTTCTAAATAGCAATAATCTATACACATATATAATGTATAATAATTGCAATGTGACTGTATTTTACAAAATACTAGTCGACTAAAACACAGCCAAGCCAAGTTACCTTGCACAGAACAAAGGTCAGTTTTATGTTATTGGATACGGTAACATAAGTGTATGTGAGCCGCATCATTATAACTTCTCAATTGTTAGCAAGGCTCGGCTGAAAATTCAATATAATAAAAATAATAAATATATATAAATGTATAATGTTATGAGCGTTAATCTATTTAATCTAAACATTTATGTTTTTGTGTTATAATTTGCACTCATTCCAAAATGAAAGAGCCATAATTTATATTTCCTAATTTTTTATGGTGGTTGCACGATTGGTCAAATCTACCGAACCCGTACAGAGATTAATTACTAAAAATACAGATAAAATACAGTTTTTTTCTTAAGAAACATTTGATAACTAAGATTTTGCATGTGAAATTTGAAAATTTT